ACCTGCTTAAACCCACCCAGATAGTTATGTCAGTAATTAAGCAGATGAGACCCTAAAGGTAAAATGTTTGAGGAAGTTTATTGATTTATTGTTTGCTTTCCCCAAAGAATGCTATCTTGATGTTAAGACAGATTAAGTGTTCTTCCAAATGTAACCGACCCTATATAATGTGCCTGCTCTTCATAATGGACAAGACAGTCTTGTCTTCCCTCTATCCTCCAGACTGCTAATAAAGCTTAGATCAGAAAAAAAAACAAAGAAAACCCCTGACAATTCTGCTTTACCTCCTAGTTCAGTTACTGGCACCTGGGGTCTTCAAAGCTTGCAAGCAATCAGCCAAAATACAATTGGTCTCTGTTTGCCTGGAACAGCAGAGGATGATGACAGCCGGCACTGAAGAAGTGAACTACAGGTATAGTTGTTTTCATAAATGACTACCTTCAATACCATGAGAGCAGAAGGCATGGATGGGGCCCAACTACTGTTACTGAACATTTGGATCAAGGACTTAACAGATAAATCCTGATCAAAAGGGTGGCAGGCATGGAACCGCTTTCCCCCACCCCCACCTAAAAAGCCTCAGAGCCTTGGACACATTCATGAACAGCTATTTCCTCCTGAACCACACTGAGGTCCTCCCATCCACCGATGGATAGGGCAACTACAATGAACAAAATGGACAAAGTTCCTGTCCTCATGGAGCTCCTGAACTAGTGGGAAAGACGGGTGTTAAATGAGCAAACACGTGTATAGAGTAACACTGAGCTGAGCTGCGCTGAACCAAACCAAGCAAGAGTTGATTGAGAAGGGTGGTCAGGGAAGCCATGAGGAAGGAAGAGAAGGAGCCAGGCTATGAAAAGTGGAGGGAAGCATTCTGAGTGGTAGGAACATGTGCAAAGATCCTGAGGTGGAAAGGATGTGGCTGGTTCAGGGAACTTTGGACAGCATCAGTGGGTAACACATGGCAGTGGAGGGCAGAGAGGTGGGAGACAGCTGGAGAGAGGGCGGATGGAGCCCTGCAGCCTCAGAGCCCTAAGACTCTAAGTCAGGAGGGGCGCAAGGGCCATTTTAGGAAGGTCACTTTTGCTGCTGTATGGAGGATGAATTGGAAGGGACAGGGTGGAGGAAGGAGACCACTCAGAAAGCTAATAGTCATTCAGCGAGAGGATGGTGGCTGGACCAGGGTGGTGGCAACCGGGGCAGAAGGGGAGGATTTGCCATCTCTTTGGGAAGTAGGACTGTCACGAATTGTTTAAAGATCAGACATTAGGGGTAAAGACAGGATGGTGGTCAGGGTGATTTCCAATTTACTGGCTTGCATTTGAGTTGTGTTGGGAAAAATACCATGGGCTGCCAGAAGAACCAACAAATATCTTGGAGGAAGTACAGCCAGAATGCTTCTTAGAAGCCAGGATGGCAAGACTTTGTCTCTCATACTTCAGACATGTTATAAGGAGGAACCAGTCCCTGGAGAGACATCCACAAAAAAGAGGACGACCCAATGAGATGGACTGACACAGTGGCCCAATGAGATGGACTGACACAGTGGCAGCAACAGGCTCAAAATAGGAACAATTGTGAGGATGGTGCCGGACCCGACAGTGTTTTGTTCTGTTGTACATAAGGTTGCTGATTTGGAACCGACTGACTTAAAGGCCCCTAACAACAGAGTCCTGGTGTGGCGCTGTGGATTGATGCGCTGGACTGTTAAATCGCTTTGAATCGCAAGGTCGGCGGGTCAACCTCACCAGCCGCTCCTCAGAAACCCTATACAGGGTTGCTATGGGTTGGTACCGACTCGACAGCACTTAACAACAACAAATGGAGTCCTGGTGTGGGGCACTGGACGGCACCTGGAAGGTTGGTGTTTCAAACTTACTAGCTCTTTGGAAACCCTATATAGGGTCGCTATAAGTTGAAACCCACTGGACTGCACTTAACAGTGACAAAAAGGGTCAGAACTCGTAGCGACCCTATATAAGGTTTCCGAGGAGCAGCTGGTGACTTTGAACTGCCGACCTTGCGAATCAAAGCGATTTAGCTGTCCAGCACAGTAAACCCACAGCGCCACATCAGGATTCCACCTCTCAATCCACAAACAGGCTCTGTGGCCCAGGGAAAGGTGGGTGAATTCCTTCTTTCGCACAATGCTGCAGTCATTTAAAAATGGCCTCACACCAGCGAATCTATCCTCAAGAAACTTTTCCAGTGCTTCCCAGCACTACTATCAGCATCCGGCAGCGTCCCTTTTCTCTGCTCTGAGCCAAGACCCCTGTGCTCCGCTCTTGTTTTTCCTTTCTACTACTTTATTCCCCGATAATCTTTCTTCCTGGATCAATAAAGTGCCATCCCCAAGAAGCCAGGATGAGCAGCCACCGCCCACCCTTGGCTCCTGCAGCGAGGCGCGGTACCCCATAGTGGGTACAGACGGTCTGGCTTCCACCCTGCATCTTCCGACACCCCACGTAGTCGACTAATTTAGTGCGGCGGTGGGCTCCGTCCACCGATCCAAGCCCCTTCCGCCCTGTCGCAGCGACCCAGCGTACGCGGAAGGGCCGGGAGCATTACATGAACCCGGCTGCCCGTCCACGTGACAAGGGTCCGCACAGACGAGCGGACTGCGTCACATGACGGTGGGCCAGGGAGCGTTTCTCACATGACGGAGGCGCGCGCGCACGGACCAATGAGGCGGCGGGGGCGTGGCAGGCCGGGCGGCGGCGGGAAGGGTGCCGGAGCTTCCGCGCTGGCCGGGAAGTAGCGAGCCGCGCCGCATTTCAGGTCTAACCCGGCTCGGTTCTGGAGCAGCATGAAGTGTCTGGTGACGGGCGGCAATGTGAAGGGTGAGTCCAGGCGTCGGGGACACGTGAGACAGACCGAGGCGGCAGCCTAAGCCTTCTCTCTTCTCCCGCAGTACTCGGCAAGGCCGTCCACTCTCTATCCCGCATCGGAGACGAGCTCTACCTGGAGCCCCTGGAGGACGGGGTGAGGGGCTGGGCTGCGGGTGGGGTTGCCTCTCTCGGGCAGCTTTGTCTGCTGTTTCCGTCTCGGCCGCGTAACTGAACTCAGCTCGGGTCCTGTCAACCACCGGGCCTGGTGTGTGAGCTAACAGCCACCCTCCCTGGAGTGCCAGATGGCGGGTAGGGGCTGACTTCGCCTAGGAGATAAACAGGGGAAGGCAGCGTGTAGGGACAGCTACGGAGGGGACTGCCCCTGGCGGTGGAAACAGGGTTGAGACTAGGTTAGGGAAGGCTTCTTAAGAATGGACCGGGGCAGACCGCCCTGGAAGGAGAGAGTAAGGATCTAGCAGGTGATGGTGGAGGGATCCTAGGTATGCTTGACTACTAACCAAAAGGTGGACTGTTCTGACCAACCCAGTGGCACAGAGGAAGAAAGGCCTGGCAGTTCTCGGTAAAGATTGTTTTTGAGTACTGTCAAGCCGGTTCCAACTCATGGCGACCCTGTATAGGGTTGCCAAAGAGTGGCTGGTTGGTTTCAACCACCACCCCTGCAGTTAGCAGTCCAGTGCTTATCCTATACCACCACATCATGACTCCCTGTAAAGATTTGTTGTTGTTAAGTGCTGTGGAGTCGGTTCCAAGGCAAAGTGATCTTGTATAGGTTCCAATCCATCAGCCTTGTGATCCAATGCATTATTTATTCTGTAGCGTCACACCAGGACAGCCAAGAAAATACCGTGGCACAGTTCTCTGCCTGCGGTAGCCCTGAGTTGTTTGTGGGGAGGATATCAGAACAGTCGTTTGAGCAGAAGCAGGCTCGCTGCCCCTGACCGTGGCCCCCTGCCGCCTTTCCCTGCTCCCCACAACCCAGCTTTCCCTCCGGACCGTGAACTCCTCCCGCTCGGCCTATGCCTGCTTCCTCTTCGCCCCGCTCTTCTTCCAGCAGTACCAGGTAGCCACCTCCAACCAAGACCCAGTGCGGTGTAAGATCCTGATGAAGGTGAGGTCCCACTAGGCAGGCGTCCTTATCTGCAGGGCCTCAGTAGAGTCAGCTCCATGGGGCTCCGTAAAGACCCCCCTGGAGAGCGGGAGAATGTAGAGCAGAGGCAGTCTGCCGGGGGAAGTGGAATGAGACCTTTCGGGCCAGGGCCATTGCAGCCTGGGTGAACAGCAGGAACCCAGTGTCCATCCATGCATTGGGCTGACCTGGGGCATGGGAGCTGGTGGGCAGCAGGTGAAGCGCTGGCTGTGTCCCGCTCAGTCGTTCCTGTCGGTCTTCCGCTCACTGGTGATGCTAGAAAAGACTGTGGAGAAGTGTTGCATCACTCTGCATGGCAGGAGCAGCCGCCTGGTGGTCCAGCTGCACTGCAAATACGGTGAGTGGGCAGTGGCAAGCCAGGGTGCTGCGGGGTGTTCAAGTGGCCACCTGAGACCCTATCTGCCCACACAGGGGTGAGGAAGATCCACAACCTGTCCTTCCAGGACTGTGAGTCCCTGCAGGCCGTCTTCGACCCAGCTTCGTGCCACCACGTGCTCCGAGCCCCAGCCAAGTAAACACGACCCCCGCCCCCAAGATCAAGGTCCTTTTTCCCTGCAGGGTCTGTGGTCCCCCATCCTGTATGTTCTCAGGCCCTTGTCTTCAAAGGCAGAGAGGGTACATGCATGTACCTTCCTCCATTTCTTCACCATCTCCACAATTCTGTGTTCGCCAGTCCTCAAGTCCCCACAGACCTAGTCTGGTTTCTCCTCTAGGAGCATTCTCTCTGGCAGGATCACCCTAAAGGGCTTGGTGGCTCAGGGTGTCTGGCATGGTCATCCTTTCCGCATTTGAGGGTGGGCTCTGACTGCTGCCTGCCTTGGCACTGGTCTCATGGCATCCCAAGACCCAGGTAGGAAGCTGGAGCATTCTGGGCAGTCAAGCAGCAGAGCCAGGCAGGGCTCAGAAGGCGAGGATTCCAGGGGAGGCAGGTGTCCCTGGCCAGGACCAGCTCGGGGGAGAAGCGGCCCCCACACTGCTTGCATCCATCCAAGTAGCCAAAATCCCATTCCTTTCTCTTGGTAGGCTGAAGACATGGTGACTTGAAGCCCCCTTGAGTACTAGGAGACTGTTTTCCCAGTTCAGTAGAGAAAGCCGGACTCTGACATCTGCAGGGAGATGGGGGAAGGCTAGCACTTCCAGCCCTGAGTTTTGCAGCAATTTCAACCTCTTAAGAAACAAATGTTTCTCTTTTCCTTAATGGACAGTTTCAAACCCATTCACAGATGAAGTATGCATTCCCCTGATACCATCTCCTGATATGGTTCCTCCCTGGCTCCTGCCCTGTTATTTTGAGCATGACCCAGATGTTATTTCACCTGCTCATGTTTGTCAACATGTATTCCTCAAAGACGCAGTTAGGGGCACCTCTGGCCCCTCCCTTCCTTGCATGTTGGGGCCCTTGTCTGCCTCGCCCCTGTCCTTGTAGTGGAGTTGATGTGACTGGTACCAGGGCTGCTCTTCTGGCCTGACTACAGTGTTGCCACCTCCCCACTCACAGGGTCCTGGGGGAGGCTGTACAGCCCTTCCCCCTAGCACTGGCTGAAGTGACCCTGGGCATTACCCGTGGCCGCAGGGTGATCCTACGAAGTTATCAGGAGGATGAGGCAGCAGGTGAGGGATCTGGCCTGGGATGGGAGCAGAGCTAGGTGTGCCGGAACCCAGACACACCATCCTGTTCTTGCTTCCCAGACAGCACCATCAGAGCCATGGTAACAGAGATGAGCATCGGAGAGGAAGACTTCCAGCAGCTGCAGGCCCAGGAAGGGGTAGCCATCACTTTCTGTCTCAAAGAACTCCGGGTAGGTGTCCCCAGTGCATGTGCCGCCCTGGCCTCCCTGTCCAGATCTGGCTTGACCCTCCCTCATGATCCTTCCAGGGCCTCTTGAGCTTCGCTGAGTCAGCAAATCTGTCCCTCAGCATTCACTTTGATGAACCTGGCAGGTAATTGCATCCTGGGCTGCGTATGTTGTATGGTGGGGCTGTGGTTCTGAGCATTGCTGATGCCCCCACCCTCCCAGGCCTGCCATCTTCACTGTTGAGGATTCACTGCTGGACGGTCACTTTGTCTTGGCCACTCTCTTAGAGCCAGACCCACAGTCCCAGGGCCTGGGCTCCCCGCAGCCCCACATGCCAGGTCCTCCGTTACAGGCTTCCAGGTGAGGGCATCTCCCCGCGCCCCCTGCGATTAGAACCCAAACCAGAGCTTCTAGTCACCAGCCCCTCTGCCCCTCCCCCATGATACTTCCCCTCAGGCCCCACCACTCCCAGCTTCCAGCCCTGCAGGCTCCTCATGGTCAGCTGTGCTCAGAGACCCCTCCCACCCAGTGAAGGTCCCCAAGGCCCAGCTGTTTCCTTCTCTGGCTGGAACCTCCCAAACCCCCGCTCCCAGACCAGGGAGGGAGCTGGCTGCTGAGAGGCAAGGCGCCGCCCAGGATGGAGAGGCAGGTGGCTGGACTGGCAGGTGGGCTGGGAGACTGGGCCCAGTGCAGCGTCAGCAGAGGAAGTCTGGCCTGGCCCCCTGCCCAGTGTGTCCCTGGGCCTTGGTGTGCTCCAGTTCGGTCCCCTGGGAAATAGGGAGGGCTTGAGCCCCCAGTGACCCAGCTGGCAGGGTTGGTTGCTCCCCTCCCCCAACTGAGCCACATTGGCCCCAGACAGCCTCTCCCCAGGCCCCTACCTGAACTCTGATCAAACAGATTCCAGGCCCACCCCCTCCAGGAAGCCACCACTTAACCGCCCCCCCTTCTTCTCCCCTCAAACAAATCAGGAAGTCGTAAAACCAGAGATCACCAGAGCCCATTCCGAGCCTCCAGGTGGGGCCCTGCCCTTTTCGCTCCTTCTTGTGACACCCCATCTTTACAGCAGCACGCCCCCCCTGGACGACTTTGCCAATGATGACATGGACTCTTACATGATTGCCATGGAGACCACAGTGGGCATCGAAGGCTCGCGAACCCTGCCCTCCCTCTCCCCTGGCCTCCGTGCCCCTTGTAGCCCAGGATCAAACTCAGAGGACGATGACAACAAAGATGACCCGAGCACAGTGCCTGGGACCCCCCCACCAAAGAAGGTAGGAGAGAGGGTGGAAGGAAGGGGTGGAGAGCTGCCTCCACAACTCACTGGGGCCTTCTCTTATGTTTTTCCAGTTCCGCTCCCTGTTCTTTGGCTCCATCCTGGCCCCAGACCACTCCCCCCAGGGCCCTAGCCCTGTGCTGGCTGAAGACAGTGAGGGTGAGGGCTGAGCCGTCGGCTGGTCTGAGGCTCTGGACTAGAGGAAGCATGGCTTCCTCCTCCCCCCCCAGACCCAGCCCATTGCAGGGATGGCTCCAGGCTGACCATGAGGGGCTGCACCTGCTGCCCACTGCTAAAGGTGACTGGCGTGGGTCCTGTCGTCTCTCCCCACTCCAACTAATCATGTCTGCTCCAGCCTGGTACTCAACTGCTGATTGCCACCAGGGGCTTCAGGTGACTCCATCTGGCCAGGTCTGGAAACTGCTTCCTGCAATCTCCCTTCTCTGCTAATCATGATGGTTCTACCTGCATATGGACACACAGACTTTGCTTCTTCAATCCTCTGGAGCTGCCTCTATGAGTCTGTGTGTGTGTGTGTGGCCTGAGTCTGGTGTCCAGCAAGGCATCCACCCCAGAGACTATGGACAGAAGGGCTGCCAGGCCCAGGATGGGATAAGGGAGACAGAGGCCATGGCAAGAATCCAGCTTTGATCTTTATTCAAGAGACCAGACGGGTTGGCCCAGGATCAGCTGCCAGCCCCAAGGCCCAGCCCGGTGGAAACCCACAGCGTGGCCTGCCTTTACCCTGAGCTGCAGCCTCAGCCCCAGGACCCGGATTGCAACCCCTATGGGCGCAGGTGGGAGGGAACCCTGAGGATTGGACACTGCTATTGATTCATTAAAAAAAAAAAGAAGGAAACTAGACCAAGGCTCCGTGTTCCCCCAGACAGGTGGGTCCGAGTGGCCAGCCTGCCACCATGGCAGCGTGCCTTCTGTACAATCCAGCATCTAGGGGCAGAGAGGTGGGTGCAGGAGGGCTATTTCTTGGCTTTGGCGGAATTGCGGGGTGGGGTGATGGGCCGGCCTCCAGGATTCAGGCCACTGAACTGCCCGTATTTTCCCTTGTTCTTGTCGGCTGGCTTGAGGATCTATAAGAGGTAGAACTAGTCAGACTCCAGGGCCTAGAGTCCACCCTGGCACTCACTCCCATCACCCATCCCTACGCCCACCTGGAAGGAGCACATGAGCGTCTCATCCACGCTCATCATGGCACCAGCATTGTCAAACTCGCCGCAGTAGTTGGGAGCTGAGAAAAGTGTTACCAGCTGCCGCTTGGCAAAAAACTCATAGCCATCTTCCACCACCTGGACAAGGGCAGGTGCAGTGAGCTGGGGGGCTGAGCTGCCCCGCCCAGGCCTCTCCCCTGCAGACCATCACTGCCCACCCGCCCACCTGGTGCGCCCGGCAGATGAGGTCCAAGTCGTGCTTGTGCAGAAACTTGGCCACCACCTCAGCCCCGAAGGTGAAGGAGACACCGCGGTCATTCTCGCCCCAGCCCTGCACATCCTTGTCAGGGTCCGACCACAGCAGGTCACACAGCAGGCCCTGGTCAGGCACGTCTGTGGGTCGCATGATGCGTCGGATCTGCTCCATAGACTGCAGGTCCGGGGATAAGCCTGAGGGATACAAGTGAGTCAGTGCCTCAGACAAGGAGCCCACCTCCAGACAGCTCCACCCACCCTCCACCAGTGGATCCCTCCCCTGGGTTCCAGGGCTGAAGGAGGCCTCCTCATCTGCCCCTTGGAGTTTACCACTCACTGAGCACAGGGACAAGCAAGCAAGAAGTCCCTGCCCTGCTGGAGTGCCCACAGCTCTCTGGAGAAAGGAGATAAGCAAAAGCCACCACAGGGGAAGTGCAGCCTAGTGGGTGGGAGTGAGGGCACTTGGAAGAAATGATAGACCTAAGAGAGCACCCCTGCTATTCCAGGCAGCAGAGGGCTTGGCCTGTCTCAAACTGTGCTTCATTCCACTGTGGCCAGCTCGGCCTTTCCAGCACCACCCACCCACCCGCACCCACGCCCCTCACCTCCATGGCAGCAGAAGATTTTCTCGTCCACAATGGCTGCGATGGGCAGGCAGTTGAAGCAATCGGTGAAAGTTTTCCAGAGTTTGATGTTGTAGCGTCTCTTACCTGCTTAGAGGAAGGGACTGGCTTTGAAGAGGCTGCCCGCCACCCCTTCAGTCTTGTCTCTGGGCCCCACAGCTGGAAGAAGAGCATAAAGGCAAAAGGGGGGGCTCACCCCCCCATTTTACCTACCACCATTCCAAGATGGGAAAGCAGCAAGTCAACAGGAACCCTGGAGTTCCAATCTGTAATCCTAGGGTAGAGCCCTCCCCCGAATCGCCAGGGGCAGAACCAGAGGCAAGACCCAATCTGTTTTAGCTCAGCTTCTGGTCAACAGAGTCCAGTCCAGATAGGCACCAGAACTGCCTTAAGAATTGCACTGGAGGTGGGAACGTCACCAAGTAGAGGTTCAGGGAAAAGCATTCAGAATGGGAGCCACCAGTGACCATTCACCAAACCCCTCCCTAGTACACCCTGTCTTTTGGGAGCTCAGTCTAACGGGACTCTGTCGGACACAAACGTGGCTAACACCTAGCCATTGTGAGGGTCCCACTGAAGAGAAGGGAGGGAACCTGAGGACCTGGGTGGGCTCCAGACCACTCACACTCATCATAGAAACCGTAGATGCGGTTGATGCTGGCACACTCATGATTCCCACGGAGCAAAAAGAAGTTCTCGGGGTACTTGATCTTGTAGGCCAGCAGCAGGCAAATGGTCTCCAAGGATTGCTTGCCACGGTCCACGTAATCTCCCAGGAAGAGATAGTTGCTCTCCGGCGGGAAGCCTCCGTACTCAAACAGCCGAAGAAGATCGTAGTACTGGCCGTGGATGTCACCTGTGACCCAGGGAATTGGGTCAGCACCAGGGGCAGGGTCGGGACATGGACCAAGGCCCCGGATGGGCTCCAGAGAGGAGGGGCTCACCACATATCTTGAGGGGCGCCTCCAACTCCAGAAGAATGGGCTGGCTCAGGAAGATCTCCCGAGATTTGAGACACAGACCACGGATCTCGTTCTCTGTCAGCTGAACATTCTTTCCAGGCCGCGAGCCTTGAACTAGGGGAAGAACAGATGTCAGGACCCCGGCCCCCGCAGGCACGAGGGTGGCCGACACAGGAGGCCGCAGGGAACCCCTCTTTGCTCAGGGGCAGCTGTTGCTGTGTCTTCTTGGGGCCTCCGCCTTAAGTGCCCCAAGAAAGGGCCTTCTACAGGGGGCATATGTGCGCCGGTACCGCCACCAAACACCTCGGAGCGCAGTCCTCCACGGACCCCACTGTGTCCGACACCACCCAAGCCTGGAGAGCCGGCGCGGGTCCCGGAATTCCTGGCGCGCCCGCGCGGGGAGGAACCGCGGGAGCAGGGGCCGTCCCCGCCCAGGCTGCGCTGGCCCCGGGAGGGGAGGCCCGCCCGCGCGCCACTTCCGGGCCGGGCAGAGGGCCAGGGCGCGGCCCGGCGCGGCCTCAGCCTACCTTCCAGCAGGCGCCCGATGATAGAGTCCAAGTTGAGCTTCTCGGTGTCTGACATGGCGACACCGCCGCTCCGGCCCTGCAACTCAGGGCCCCACTCCTGCTACCCGCCCTCCCGCTGCCTCCTTCCGGCCCGGCACTCCTTCCGTCCACCCGGCCCGCCCCCGCGCGCCGCCGGCTCCGCCCCGGCCACCGCCAGCCTGCGCTGTAGCGCCCCCGCTGGACTGGAGGAGAGGCGCCGCCGTGGACCTGGAGGCGGGGCCTCAGTGGAAGGCGGAGCCAGAGCCTGACTTCGCCGGGCTGGGCGGTGTTTGTGGGTGGGACAGAGCCTGGTTCCGCCCCCGGGAGTCACCCAACCCCGTTCGGATGTGTGGTACCAGAAGTCCTGTGGAAGTTGTTTTTCTCTTTCAACGACTAGATAGTTCTCTCCACTGCTACCCTGAGAGGGAGGGTGATGCGAGCGCGTTAATAACCGCGACAAACCTAGCCCTGTTCTTCCCATCCAACCGCTGCAGATTAGTCTCAAAAGTGAAGACTGTTTGGAAAACTCAAGACCCCAAGAGAGCAAAGGGCTGGCAGGTGACTGTGATCTCACATTCTCCGAAGGGTCTCGTTCTTCTAGGTCTCCTCAGCAGCCTCCAGGCGACCGAATAGACTCAAAGACCACTTGTCCCCGACCTTGGAGCCCATTCTGGTGCATGTGGCACCAAAGTGATGCCTGACTAAATGAATACAGATATTTCTAAGAGTCCCATAATTACTTTGTGAGAAGCGCAATTAAATAACGCACACTCATAATGTATGCTTTGCGTTAAAAATGTAACTTTGTAAATTCTTATTGAAACCCTGACTTGGGTATCTGACAGGCCAGGAACTCAACGTTGGAGGCCCTGGTCTCTACTTCTAGGTGGCCCAGCCCCATCACAGAGCACAGGAACCCACATCTGCCGACCCAGGAGTTTGGGAGGGGCTGGAGCTCAGGGGCACGAGGGCAGGCAGGAAGAGGCTCAAAGAGGAAGGGTGAACCCCCACACACACACTTGGGAGGGGCCCCCTAGCGAGCTGCTGAAGCTGAGGTTAAGGAGGAAGTGAGAGGGGGCGGTGAGGTGCAGCCTGGAGGTGAGCTGGGCTGGCAGGGACATCGGCTGGGGCTGGGGCTCTGTACAGAGGGCTAGTCTTTTAGGGCCTAGGCCCTCCACCCTGAAAGAGAGAGGACACTGGGGCCTCGGTAAGATACCCTGAAACCTACTCCCTCCATCCCCACACCCAGGTTCTGGGACTGAGAGCCCTAGCCCCAGGCTGACCGGGAACTGTCCCTCGCACTGGCTCTCCCCACGTCTTTCAGTCAGTGGCATCTTGGGTCAGGGGCACCATGGCCCAGGCCCTTGGGGAGGACCTGATACTGCCTTCGGAGCTGCAGGATGACTCCAGCTCTTTGGGGTCTGACTCCGAGCTGAATGGGCCCAGCCCGTATCGCCAAGCTGACCGCTATGGCTTCATTGGGGGCAGCTCAGCAGAGCCAGGGTAAGTTGGGGTGTGTGGAGGTGCTGGGCTGAGGATGGGGTCTGAGGGCTAGTGTGGAACGCAGAGCAACTTCAAGCATCCTGGGAGGGCATGGGCCCAGTATCACCTCTCTAGTGGAAGCCCAGAGACAGGGAAACTAGGAGGGCATGCCTGTATGTCTCTTGCACCCCCAAACATTTGAGGGCTGACACCCACCACTAGGATTCAACAACCTACCCCTTTTAACCTTTGGCCCAGGAACCTTAGTTCCAAACCATAGAACCCACAATCTCTCCTTCCCCCTCCCGCTAAATGTACAGACAGGAAAACCAGTCCAGAGACAGAGACGCATTTGTCTGAGGTCACACAGTAGACCAGAGACCTAAAATTTCAAATTAAGGTCACACAGTAGACCAGAGACCTAAAAGCCCAGTCTAGGGCTCTGTCCAATCAACTCCCCTGTCCTGGGGGGGAATGCTAGCTAGCCCCTCCCCCAACATACACTCCCACCCCCTTCTTCAGTCTCACCTGTTCCCGCCCACATCTGCCACATTCTTTCCTGTCCTCATGACAACCAAGGGTAAGAACTGCCCTTACCCAGGAAGCATGGAGGGTGGCAGGTGTGGGCTCTGAGGATACCTGTCTGTGCCTTGTGCCCCCAGCCCAGGTCACCCTCCTGCAGACCTCATCCGCCAGCGGGAGATGAAGTGGGTGGAGATGACCTTACACTGGGAGAAGACCATGTCCAGGCGGTACAAGAAGGTGAGGGGACAGAGGCATCACCCTGGCCTCCTTGCCTGAGCCCCACTGCCCCAGTCACGGTGATTACCCAGTCTGTAAGGGCAAAGCCGGGAAGCTCCTACCTTTGTACCCTACTGTGTAAAATGGTCCTTTATCAATGGTGATTATGCTTGGCCTCTGCCAGTGGGAGCAGGGGCCCTCATGGAACGTGCCCCCCGGGTCCGCCCCCCACACACAGGTGAAGATACAGTGCCGAAAAGGTATCCCCTCAGCCTTGCGGGCCCGGTGTTGGCCTCTGCTGTGCGGAGCCCACGTGTGTCAGAAGAACAGCCCCAGCACCTACCAGGTGAGGGACTTAGGCAGGGACTGGCCTCCCCTTCCCAGAGTCTCTGTCTGAGTCTTCACAGCGGCCTGCCTGCCCACCCACAGGAGCTGGCCTTGGCCCCGGGAGACCCCCAGTGGATGGAGACCATCGGGAGGGACCTGCACCGTCAGTTCCCTCTGCACGAGATGTTCCTGTCCCCTCAGGGCCACGGGTAGGAACCAATGGTGTCCAGAGACGCCTATCCCTGCAGCTCAGGGGAGCTGACAAGGCCTGGGTATCGGGAGTGGGTTCCTGGGGACTGGCCCTAACAGGGTCTCCCGGCACAGGCAGCAGGGGCTCATGCAGGTACTCAAGGCCTACACATTGTTCCGGCCAGAACAAGGCTACTGCCAGGCCCAGGGCCCCGTGGCTGCTGTACTTCTTATGCACCTGCCCCCAGAGGTGAGTACCCTTGGCCCTGCTCCAAAGACCCAAGACCCTGACCCCAACCCTTAGAGATCCAGGCCTCTAACCCTGGACACCTGACCCCCCAGCCCCGGGGACCTGGGATCCACATTGACTCCTAGAACCTGTCCCAGTGGCCAGGACAACATAACCACCACCTCAGGGACCTTCAGTCTCAATGCTTCTGACTCCAGGAACTTGGACCCCTGATCCTTACCCCAAGGATCCAGGAATTTGGGCCTTAATCACCTTGACTGTATGACTCCTGCTTAAGAACCCTGTGACCATGATCCCTGACCCCAAAGACCTAAGGCTTGGGCAGAAGGGGAGGCTTTGGGAAAGAGCCGAATAAGGGTAGCCCGGAGTCCTAGATCCTAGGTCCCATGCCCTTTCCTCCTGCCCTGTACTCCTGGACACTTATGGCCTGGCTCCCCACCCCTCAGGAGGCCTTCTGGTGCCTGGTGCAGATTTGCGACTTCTACCTCCCTGGCTACTATGGCCCCCACATGGTGAGAGGTGGGGTGGGAGGGAAAGGGGGATGGAGACTGGGAGGGAGGGAAGGGGGACTGGTGTGGACAGAAGGGGCTAATGGCCAGCTGTCGATGGACCGCAGGAGGCAGTGCAACTGGATGCCCAGGTGTTCTCAGCACTGTTGCGGCGGCTGCTCCCGAGGATACACAAACACCTACAACAGGTGGGCGTCGGGCCGCTGCTCTACCTGCCTGAGTGGTTCCTATGTGTCTTCGCTCGCTCCCTGCCCTTCCCCACAGTGCTGCGCATCTGGGACGCCTTCCTCAGTGAGGGTGAGTGGAGCAGACAGGAGCCCTTGGGGTATACCCAACTCAGGGTCCCGCAAGTCTGCTGTGCTAACCCTAGCCTTCCTGGGGCCTCGAACCTGGAACTACCTGGGATGAAGGTGACGGCAACCACCACGGTCCATCTGTTGGGCTCATTAGTTCCAACTTCACTGCCACCTCTGACCTGCCCCTTGGGGGAGGCAATGGCTGTGTATCAGGGAGGCTTACCCAAGGGGGGCTGCCACCTGAGGTCAATGTGGCTGAGTGTTCATGTGCCAAGGAGTGAAGGAATGAGGGTCTAGGAGAGGGGCCAATGGGGGCTCAGGAGGCCCTCACCTGAGAGCTCTCGTTCTGGGGGCTGTGATCACCCTCGGGAGCAAAGCCTACATTCTAGTGGGGGCGAGAGACGCCAAGAACCACATTACCAAGATATTTATAGATTGTCCACAGTGCCAAGAAGAAAACATAGCAAGGGGGTAGGACAAAGTGTTGCGGGCACAGAGGAGGCGAGGGTTGATTTTGACGATGTTCTGGCTGCTCTTGGATGAGCATAGGGAGGCTGGGGAGGAGGGCCCAGGCAGCAGATGATAGGGGGTGGGGAAGGGATGAGCTCTGTGCCACAGAGGCAGTCCCATTCACTGACCTGTGGAATGTTTCCGAAGCTGTAAATCTCTACCGGAGCAGAAAGCCTCATCTCTCTCTTTCTGTGGAGAGACTAGTAGATTTCAGCTGCTGACCTTGTAGTAAGCAGCCCAGCTTGGAACCATTACGTTACCAGGGCTTCTAGAGGAGGGATGTGGAGAGATGCAAAGCCAGAGAGGTGAGTGCTGAGGCCAGGACAAGATGTGGGGAGTTGGGCAGTTGAATTGGACTTTCTGACATCCTGTCAGTTCCCCACTACTGCAAACCTCGCTCTGGTCCATAGGGAACAGCTAGCGGTTGTACTTGAAAGACGGTGGCAGTCACTCAGTCCATGTATTGGACCCTGGCTGACCCCCAGGGAGAGCCCCAGGAGCTGGCTTAGAGCCATGGGATATTCAAGTCCCCATTTACACATCACCTCTGCTCCAGTCGTAGATGCCAAGGGCAAGGCAGGCAGGGACTGGTAGAGTGGCTGAATGGATCTCTGACTCCCTCCATTTGTGGCAAATAGGGGCAGCACCAAGCCTGGCCATCTGCTCCCCTTAATAAGCATGTCGTTCGTGGTGATCGCCAATCCTGACACAAGGCACAGTTGGCATCAGTCCACTTTCCTTGGCTTGAGGAGCCCTGGCGATGCAATGGGTTAAGCGCTAGGTCACCAACCAAGAGGTGGTCGGTTTGAAACCACCGACTAACCAGAGGGAGAAAGATGAGGTTTTATTCTTCTGTAAAGAGTGTTATTGTTAAGTGCCGTCGAGTCGGTTCCGACCCATAGCGACCCTGCACAGGGTTTCCGAGGGTGTAAATACTTACGGGAGTAGAAAGCCTCATCTTTCTCCCGCGGAGCAGCTGGTAGTTTCGAACCACTGACCTTAAGGTTCACAGCCCGATTCGTAACCACTACACTACCAGAGCTCCTTACAGTCTGGTAAACCCTATGGAGCAGTCTGACTGTCCTGCAGGATCACAATGCTGTGAGTTGGAACCCGCTTGCCTGCAGTGGGTTTGAGTTTCCCTGGGTTCTGTTCTCGGTGGGTCTGAGGCTGCCAGGAGAAGGTTCTGAGGCCCTGAGAGGGGGACTGGCCCAAGGTTACACATGTGTGTGCACGTGTGAATGCCTGCACATATATGTGTATGTGTGTGTGCATGGACATGCCTATGTCTACATGCTTGTATGTACACTATGCTCGGGACTTGGTCGGGGTAAGGAGCTCCATGGAGACCCTGTTTAGACTCAGAAGGTCACAGAGCCAAGTTGGAAAGGCCTTCCAGGGCCCCCACCAGACCCCTCCTTGTGAAGACGAGGATACGGACCCAGATAAAGAAGGCTAACAGATTCTCAGTAGCCCCTGGCTTCTGCTCAGTGACATAAGCATCTGGGGGTGCTGAGGCTGCTTGGCCAACACAAGGGCCTGTGCTCCCCAAATTGCAATCCAAAGATCAGTTCCTTCTCCGGCCTGCGTTGGAGACAGTTGGAAGGAGTCAACCTGAGGGCAGGCTCTGGTGCAGGAGGAAGTGGGGTGGGACTGGCCTCCTACTGATGGGCCGCCTGGCCTGCAGGTGCAAAGGTACTGTTCCGGGTGGGCCTGACGCTGGTGCGCCTGGCACTGGGCACTGCCGAGCAGCGCCTGGCCTGCCCAGGACTCCTGGAGACACTTGGTGCCCTTCGGACCATCCCCCCCAACCAGCTCCAAGAGGAGGTCTTCATGTCCCAGGTGGGTGCCCCCTGGAATGCCCCAACCCTTGGTGCACAGTGGGGGATACTGAGTCACTGAACAGGAAACCAAAGTGAGGACAGGGCCAAATTCCTGCCTTCTAAACAGCAGAGAATGTGAAAGCACCAGACCTCACGTGGCTTTCTGTGGCTCCCCCTTCGAGGGTGTGTGTCAGCCCCTCAGCCCTCAGCCACTTCCTGGAGCTGTGTCCTGCCTGCCCAAGAGGCCTCCTGGCTTCCTGCCCTCCCCCCCTCCCTCCTCCCCCCCAGACTTCGCCTGGGCAAACTCGGCACCAGCCTTTCCCACAGGTACACAGCGTGGCCCTGTCCGAGCGTGACCTGCAGCGGGAGATCCGGGTCCAGCTGGGCCAGCTGCCCACAACAGCACCTGGACCTCCACCTCGGCCTCAGGCCCGCCTCGCAGGGGCCCCAGCCATCTTTGAGGCCCAGCAGCTGGCAGGAATGCGGGGGGGCACCAAGGCTGGCCTCCAGGTGCCCCGCATTGTGGTGCAGCCCCCAGAGGAGTTCAGGACACCTGGGCGCAAGCCCCAAACCCGCGGCAAGACATTCCATGGGCTTCTGACCAGGGCCCGGGGCCCCCCCATCGAGGGCCCCTCCAGGGCTCATCGGGGCTCCGCCTCCTTCCTGGACACCCGCTTCTGAGGGCTCCTTGGACTCTTGGCCCTAGCTCAAGGACCTGAATGGCTGGCCCCACTTTATATGGGCATTGGCTTCCCCTTAGCTTCCTTTCCAGTTGGGTGGGAGGCCCCCATGCCACAGACACATTCATTCCTGACCCCATGCTGGGCCCAAGGGTGAAGGAAGGTGGCAGAGTGGGACTTGCTGAGACGAGCCAGATTTGCTCATGGGGCAGTCCTGGTGCCTGGGGTTGGGGCAGCAGGCTAGGTTTCCGGAGGCTTGGAATAAAGTCTGATTAAGCAGAAGCCTGGGTTGAATCAAATGTACTCACCCCTATATACATGTGCTATCCTTTTCCCTTCCCACCCCCCCAGAAGCCCCACCTTGTCCTGGCCCAGCCTAGGTTCCTATCAAAGGACACCAGGGGACTGCCCAGTGGCTGCCAGGCAAGTGTTTACCAGAGTCTTACCAGCCTCTGGGACAGGTTGGGCTCACACTTGCCTCAGGAGGGCCTCCCAGGTGGATGCTGGGCCCAGGAGTGGGGCCCCATCCGCTACTGTGCCTCCCCTCCCCCACCCCAGGCTGGTTCAGGGCCCCTTGGTGGGGGGGCTCTAACTCAAGTCCACACCCCCTCCCATGGGCCTGGTCCCGCCTCTCTGAGGGAGTCAGGCAGGAACAAAGGTCCAGTGTGCCCAGGACAAAGGAGAAAGGGCCTACCAGCTCTTGCCCCCTCCCTCAGCCCTGGTGCACCCCCGAGGGACCGCAGCCATGGAAACCCCCTCCCACACTCACTAATTGCCCCCATGAGGGCCTGGGGTGCTTGGGCCATGAGCTGTCTCCAGGACAACAGGCCTGCAGTGGCCATTCCCGGGTGACCAGTGTCTCTGCCTCCCAAAGCCACCATCTCGAGCAGGTGGAGAAGCATTTGGCAAGACTTGGGAGCACATGGAGGAAGCACCTCGTGATAGACATTAGGTAGGCATTCATCCCAAATGTCCCAGTGACTGGGCTGAGCCCTTGGCATGGCCGCCTGTTGGACTTGGGAAGGCAATGTGCTCCAATCTGGACTGTTCTGGAGACAGGACTACACTCATGCTATATGAGTTCATGTGGTGGCCAGGGATGCCCCATTCCACTCCTGAGGAGCCTACAGCCTGGAGGAGAATCCTGGGGATTGTCAACCCTTGTCTGCAGCGAGTCAGCCCTGGGGGAACCGAGGCTCAGGATGGGAAGAATTTGGACAAGGTCTCTTGTTCCTTGGTAGACGCAAAGTTTTCTGCCAAATTCACCATCAGCAACCCCACACACAGCTTGGCCTTCTTTTCTGGGGCTTTGTTTTTCCCATTGCCCCACCCACGCCCGCCCCCAGCCCTGAACCCGCTCTTCTGTGTTTAGACAGCAGCTGGGGCCTCAAGGGTTCCAGAGGCCCTCCTTAAGCCTCCACACTCCACTGGGACACACACCTCGCACTTAATAGTAACCTGCTCCCCTGAAGTCCAATAAAGCCTTCTAGGAAGACCCCTGTCATACCACCCGTTCTCTGCTGGTGGTCCACCCGTTCTCTGCTGGTGGGGGCTGGAGAGGCTGGGATTGCTGACCACAAAGCAGAGACAGGGCTCAGCTTTAGATGAGGAGCTAATGGTGGGATTCCAGGCACTGTCTTCTTTGAGAGACTTGCCCCTGGAATCTGTCCTCCAGCATTCAGGGCCTGTTACTCCCTACCCCACCCCCTTGCTGTTCTGGAGTGACCTATTGCCACCAGGCCCTCCCCACCTTGCAGCCACAGTCCCGGGCTTGGGACCCCACCTTGTGGCTGCAAGGGGGGGGGGGCCTGGTGGCAATAGGTCACCCTGGGAAAGGTCACCCTGGGAACAGACCCAAGAGGCAGGTGGTCCCTAGCAGAGCTGAGACAAGGAACTATGGTGGTACAGTAGTTAAGCATCGGGCTGCTAGCCTTTTAAAAGGTCAGTGGTTTGAACTCATTAGCTGCTCTTCAGGAGAAAGCTGGAGCAACACAGTTTGCTTCTGCAAAGCTGTATAGCTTTGGAGACCATATAGGACCATTCTAACGTGTCCTACAGGTCAGGGCGGAGGCTGAGACCGCCCTGAAAACATTTTCTGGGCAGCCTCTGCAGGTCCCATTCTCAGCCATCTCTATGGGGCACCTGAGATAAAGGGTCAGGTCAAAAGAGGCCCATCTCCCCCCAACAGCGCTTCTAGATGTTTGTGCTCACAGCCTTTTCCACAGGTCCAGCTCGGCAAGGTGGGGACTGACCACTCAGTGCACAACTGTACTTGGTGAACCTGCAACCTGGTTCCCTACAAACCTACCTGGAACCAGTCTGCAGATGTCCCGCTCTGAAGCTGAAGTGGCCCCCAGAGATGACTGTCCGCCTGGGTCAGCCTCCGGGGATAGAGATGGGGTTGGGCACAGGCAAAGATGTAAAGGCAGATGGATTTCTGCCTTGGCCTGGGAGGGGAGGGCGTCTCTATCTGGCAAGGTCACTGCCCCCTAATGGTCCCCCTAGCTGTCCAGGTTTTCAGTGTACAGACTGTGTGGGAAAGGTCCTCACGGAGCCTCAATTTCCTTCAATGAACAAGTTGATAGTAGTTCCCACCCCAGCCCCAAGTGCTGTTTCATGCCGAATATGATGGTTGGCCACTTGAATCCTACAGCTGCTTCTCCCACTGACCCATTCTGGTCTAGCTCAGCCTCAGTAACGCCCAACATCTGGTGGCAGGGACAGGAGTGTCCCCACTTCCCGGAGCTGCAGCTGCTCAGCACAGATTTTCCTCCTTGTGTCCACAGTGCATGGTAGTGCCCAGTCAGGGAAGCCTGGGAGCTGGCACAGAAACCCACTGTCCCCTCTGTACAGTGTGTGCGTTCAGGGGAGAGGGTAGGGGCACTCAGTGCCCAACCTAGAGGTGGGCAGACACACAGGCGATTTCAGAGGGAAGACCCCCAACCCAGCAGTGTGACCTTGGGTAAATGACCCCCTTTCTGAACTTCCCCGTAAAAAGCCGAGCTGAGTAACTTCTACCTCATGAAACATGTGAAAGTTGGACAGTGAATAAGGCAAATCAGAGGAGAATCGGGGCACTTGATTCTGGTGTTGGGGGAGAATACTGAAAGTACAATGGTCTAGCAGAGCAACAAACAGATTTGTGTTGGAAGAAGTACATCTAGAATACTCCTTAGAAGCCAGGATGGTGAGACTTTGTTTCTGGTACTTTGGACACATTGTCAGGAGGGATTAGTTGCTGGGGAAGGAAATCAGGCTTGGTAAAGCTGAGGGTCAATGAAAAAGAGAAAGACCCCCCAACAAGGTTGATCGAACACCAATGGGCTCAAATGTAACCTGGCAGTGTTTCTTTCTGTTTTGCATGGGTGTCACTGTGAGTTCGAACCCACTTGATGGCACCCAATAACAACACACTGCCACAGAGCCCTCACCATACAGCTGAGGACATATCAAGAATGGGCTGCTGATACCCCTTAGCATCCATCCCCTGTAGGTACCCTCTCCAGGCCAACCTGGGCTAACGTATACATTGTGATTCCCAATTTGGGGCTGAGAAACTGAGGTCCCAGAGGCTGTGTAGTTTGTTAGGTGTCAAACGTCATATTCTGTGGATGCGCCCATGCACCACGGGGTTAGCTGAAGCTCGGATAACCCAGACAGCAGACCTCTCATGCCTTGCACCTCATTCCAGGAGCAGAGTTAGCTTTCAGGAAATGGATTTGGGGCTGAAAGAGCCTGGACAGGACTGAACAGCTGTGTAGGGTATGTGGGCTGGATTGGGGGACCCTAGATAAATCTTTTGGGGAACACTCCAGTCACAGCAGGGTCTTTAGAAGCTGCTCTGTCACCATGAGTGCTGTACTTGCCCTTGGAGTGGCTGGCCGTCTTCCTAGTTCCCAGTCTCTTCCCTCAACCTTGTTTCTGTTAATCGAGTCGATTCCGACCCATAACGACCCTGTATAGGGTTTCCGAGGAGCAGCTGGTGAGCTTGAACCACTGACCTTGCAGTTCAAACAGCTTTGCAGTCTGGCACGTTAAGTTAACCCACAGCGCCACACCAGGGCTCCAATCCCAAGATTATTATAAAATGTGGGGTTCATATACCAAAGAGAGGTGCCCCAGACCCTGGCCAGAGCTAGGATGGAAATCTGCTAGAGTGGTACATCCCAGTAGAGGGTGGGCATCTCTGGGTGGTTTCTTAGGGTGAGTTGGTGGCTGTGAACCCGGTCTTGTGGGGTGTTTCTGTGTGTTTGGGTGGGTGTAACCGGGTGTAACTCTGATAACCTTGTGGAGACTGATATGAAGCTGATTTGTGTGTTCCTGGGCAGAGACAGCCCCATTCTGGAACCCCTGTGGACCTGACCACACTCCACTCCTAGTCCCCTTGTGGAATTGTACTGAGATGTCCTGCTCTGTCAAGGGGAGCCCTTAGATGTAGGGAGCCCAGAAAGGAGAGAGTTTCTCAGCTGCTATGGGGCTGAGTGTTCGTGGACCATACAGACAGCTGTGGGCAAGGAGTGCAAGGGACCCAGGACTTGGTCCAAGGGCAGACGCCAGAGTGTTCCCCTGGGAACACCCCACCCCCAAGGGCGGGTCCTAGTACCAGTCTCTGGCGGTGCCAGCCGGGCTCTCTCTGCCCCTCCTTCTGCTTTCCTTCCAGCACTCCCATCTTTCTCTGCAGTGAGGAAGGGCCTCTCTATCCTTGGCCCTGGTCCAGTCTCTTCCTTAACTCCAGATCTGTGTGTGTGCGCTTCTCAGATTGTCTTTGCGTATTTGTACCTAGTCCTTAGTCTCTACTTGGTGTCTTTGAAGATCCCCGTCTGTCCCTCTGAGTCTGCTTCTTCTGGCTGTGCCCCCCTGCCCCTGGCCGGTCCGAGGCCCCCCAGTGTTCCAGGTTTTGGGGGAAGGGCTTAAAACGTTTTGGCGGGAGGGAGCCAGGCTGGTCCCAGGCTCTGTCAGTGGATCCTATCTGCTGTTGCAGAACTTGACCCCGCCGGCCCGGCCCGACCCGACCCGGCCCGCACTGGGCATGCCCCAGGCGCGGCTATAAAAGGCGGCGCCATCCCAGCTTAGCACAGTGCCGCTGCCGCAGCCGCCGTTACCTGCAGCCAGCCAGCCCGCCGAGCCCCACCGCCAGCCGAGCCGCTGTGCCCGCAGGTACCCCGGCTCTGAGCCCGAGCCCAGGCGAGCCAGGGAGGGGGGCTACTGGGGCAGGGGCCCGCAGACACCTGGATCCTGAGCACAAACACCCCTTCACCCCAGCAGGATTCCTAACCCTGCCCCCCACACGGGGATCAGGTGCTCTTCACTGGAGGGGCTGAGTCCCACGCAAACCCAGAACCTCAGGGGTGCATCAGCTCAAGGCGGGACCCCGGGGTCCTGGCACAGATATTTCTCTGTCTCCTTGGGATGGGGGTGGGGTAGCCCTGAATCCTCTTGGCAGGGACACAGTGGTGGCCACCTGTCCATCCCCAAAGTCCTCAGGGCTGGGCAGTGTGGTGAGGACCCAGGTGCCCTGACCCCTTATTTTGTCTCTCTGTCCCTCTCTCTGCCATCAGTCTCTCAGCCCCTCCACCTGCGAGATGGTGAGTCCCCTCTGGCCCACCCCCTAAAGCCCAAGATCATGAACAGAGGGAGGGCTCAGAGGGCAGCATCTGGCACCCAGAGCCTAAGTCTGGGGCTGCCTTGCACACAATTCAGCACACACTGCACCCCTTGACTCCCTACCCCATCTCCTCCTAGGAGACACAGCCACAATGGGCCCCCCCCCATTTCTCCCACCAACCCTGTCTTGTGGGTAGGTAGGGTTAGTCCCCTTTTACATCCATGCATCCAGTGACATGTCCTGAGCTCCTGCTACGCTCCCAGCTGCATTTTAGGTTTGGGGGCACAGCAGGGTGGAGGCTCAGAGGCTGACCCGGCAAGCTGGGATTCACGCTCCAGCCTAAAGACCTGATCTCTGGCCTCCTGGTCACAGTACACTGTCCCCAACAACTAAGGTGATCTTGGTGTAAGTCATAGCTTCACCCCAGGATGGAACAGGGCAGGCACCAGGCACCCACAAAGTCCAGAGAGACCTTACGATGTGCCCAAGATATCAACATGCCTGGCTGCTAGCCTCCCGACCCAGGATTGGGGAGAACGAGGAATAAGTGTCTCACCTGGGTTTTTAGTCTCCAGTAGCCATGTGTGGGTATCAGCCAGGTAACAGCCATCCCTAATCTCAGAGAGGGGTCGGGGAGTAAGATTTCACCAAGAGAAAACATTTCCTTGACATGAAATACCTGCATACAGGGACACTTGCCCCTGTCTTCTCATGCCTTGCCAGGGTGGGTGAGCAGTGGGGCAGCAAGGAATACTTGGTCTTTTGGAACTCCATGATGGCAGATGGACCACTGAGGTCCAGAGAGTTGCGAACAGCCTAGGGTCATTAATTGGCATATGTGTATTTAGTCTTGGTTCAATGAACATTTCCAGATGAGCTCCTGTGTGAACAAAAAAAACAAAAAACTCTGTCTGCCCTGTGAAGCAACTCAAGGCAGAATATATGTGGGAAGGGAACCATGGTCCAGCATGGCTGCCCTCCCCTGACCCGGGGCACTGCACAGAACAGTTTACAAAGCACTCCCACACGCATGACCTGATGACAAGCCTTCACCCACAACCCACTCCATCCTTTGGACAGGGTCTGTCCCAAACATGACTCAATGTTGGGGGATGGGGAGGATGTGGGCTCCCATGTGACTTTTCCAGCCTGCCCAAGACCCATTCCTTCTGCCTCCTCAGCTCTCCCTAGAGTCACAGTGTCCCAACTGGGACAGCCCCGTGAGCTCCAAAACCCTGGAAGACAAGGAAGGCCCGTGGGGAGGGGACTCTGGCCTGCCACCCACAGGCTGCCTCCCCGGCCCCTGGCGTCAGGACGTGGGCTTGGACTGCAAAGGCTCCCCCGAGGGGGCCACAGCCCGGGTCTGGACGGCTTACTATTACAGTCTCCTGCAAAGCTGTCTGCAGCATGCTGGCCTTCCGGAGACCCAGGACCGCAGCCAGGTGCCCCGCACAGGTGCCCGAGGATTCCATGGAGGGTGGTACCCCAGGGAGGAGGAAGGTGCCCTCAGCTCAGCTTCCTTCTCATTCCAGGGGGGCAGAGGGGCACCTGCCCAAGGTGGCTTTTCCCCCACTCCAGGTCTGTCTGAACCAGGGCAGCAAGGCCAGTCACCTCAGGCAACTGGCAGGCCCTGTATCCAAGGGCACTTGGCACGGATAAAAGCAGAGATTGAGGTCCCCCGCCCATCCCAGAAGAGCCAGCCCTGGGGTTTGCAAGCCATGCTCTGGGGAACTGAAGATGCTCTAGATGGGTCTTGAGAGCAACGGTGGAAGCAGCTGAGAGGAGTTAGTTAGAACTTGTAGTCCTGGCTTGCTTTATCTGTGTGTTAGAACAGGTGGCCCTAAAAGAGTGTACCTGGACTGAGGGCTTCACAACTAGAATACAGGAAAATCTCAGTTGGTCCCATTGTACAGACTGGGAAGCGGAGGCCCAGTGAGTCCTCCAAGGTCAAATAGAAAGTCAGGGACAAAGCACAGCCTAGAACTCAGGATCCCTGACTCCCAGTCTCCAGGGCCTTCCAGACCAGCTTCAGAGAGAAGGGAGTCCGCCTTCTGGGTGGAGAGGGCAGAGATGCCCCATTCCCTACTCAACTTCCTCTCTGTTCTCCTTATGACTCTCATGCCCAGAAGGACCAGAGGCCCCAGGGTGAGGGCAGGGGCATGGAGGGAGTGGAGGTGTGCAGAAAGACAGCCGGTAGAGCTCCTGGTGAGCTGGACCCTGTTCTCTTCCCCCAAGGTTGCCCTGGGGCAGAGGTGACCCTGTGCATTTTGGGATCCCCCAGCACATTCCTGTCAGTGCTGCTGGAGGGTGGGGTCCAGAGTCCGGGTGAGTGTCTGCCCAAGTTCCCCCACCCCCTCCTACAGAAAGGGCAGCCCTGCCCTGGCCCAGCCACATCCCAAAATACCCACAGACCCTGGCAAGGGCTGGCATTCCAGTGGACAGCTGCTTTGCTCTGGGTGGGTGGGGGTGGGTTCTGAGAGCATCTGCCCCATTCCCACTCCTTGGGGGCCCGGGCAGGAGATGGAGGGCATTAGGCTTTTGCTGGCCAGCCACCTGCTTCCCTCTGCCCACAGGAAACATGTTCCTGTGCCTGTCCCCTGCTTGGCTGACGAAGGTGCCAGCTACTGGGCAACCAGGCGAGGCAGCCCTGCTGGTCTCCAAGGCTGTGAGCTTCTACCCGGGGGGTCTGACTTTTCTGGATGACTTTGTGCCCCCCCGCCGGGTCACATACTTCCTGGCAGGCCTGGGGCCAGGGCTTGGCTGGGGACGACGAGAGGCGGCAGAGCTGGCCCGTGACCTGGCTTGCCCCACGGGTGCTTCAGCTGAGCTGGCCCGGCTGCTGGAGGACCGCCTGTTGACCAGGCGGTTGCTGGCCCGGCAGGGGTGTGTGACCGTGCCAGCTACCCTGGCCTTCACCTACAAGCCGCAAGAGCTGCTGCCGGGTGGGGAGGTCATTTCAGGCCTGAGGCTGGTGGAGATGAGTAGCAAAGAAGGCCAGGAGGCTGTCGTGAAGGAAGAAGTAGAAGCCTTCCTACAATCGGAGGCCCTCGGGGACTCCCGGCAGGTAACAGTTCCTGCCCACCTGGAGGCCTGGTCAGATGCACAGAGCATGGGCCCCAGGGGATTAGGTTCCCAGGTGTTGTTGGGAAGATGCCCTGCAAAATGGGGTAATCCCTGCCCTCTTAGTTTACTCTTAAAGCCCTGGTCTGCTAACTGAACCACTAACCACTCCACGAAAAAGATGTGCCTGTTCCTACAAAGACGACAGCCTTGGAAACCCAAGGGGGCAGTTGTCCTCTGTCCTACAGGGTCACTATGAGTTGGAATTGGCTGGACAGCCAGGGTGGGCTCTGAGCATCCCACCTGCAAGCACATGGGTGGTGGTAAGGAGGCCTTTCTGTCCTCCTTCCCCCAGGTGGCTGTGAAGCCCAGTGGCTGGCGCTGGAGGGGGCGTCAGGCATTATTACATCTGCACCCGAGGGTGGAGCTGGGTGCAGTGGTGGACACGGTATTGGCCTTGCTAGAGAAGCTGGAGGAGGAGGAGAGTGTCCTGGTGGAGGCTGTGTGCCCACCTGTCCAGCTGCCCAACCCAGGTGAGGGCCTCCTAGGTTGGCGGATTGAGGGCTAGGCTAGGCCCTGCCTCCTTGCCGCTCTGGGCTGGGCTCAAACCTCCTGTCTTCCCCCAGGCAGTCCCCTGCCCAGCTGTGAGCTGGCTGTTCGAATCTGTGCGGTGGTGTGCTGCACACAGGGCGACAGACCCTTGCTGAGCAAGGTGAGGGGGGCCTGAGTCAGGTGGGGATCCTGCCTGACATAGCCCAGCCCAGTCCAGCCCAGCCCCACCCACCTGCCCAGGGATCTGGGCAGTCTTTAGGCAGAGAAGGGGGAGGGAGAACAAAATCTTGAATTCTCCTAGTTGAGGGTGTGAGCTGGCTGTGGGGTTGCAGGAGTGTGTGAGGGGTGGTACCATAGGGCTCCTGAGTCAGACACTTACTATCTCGCCTCCAACCCTTCCTTGCCCTCCTCCCCGTGTTCAGCTCCAAGCTGAGGCCCTGGGAGGCCAACCAGAGTCCCCAACAAACTTCAGTGCTTGGAGCCCTGTGGGAGGGTCTTCAAACCAGGAGTTCCAGAAAAGCTTGGGGGACCTTTCTGGTTACCCAATTCCACTGTGAGCTGGGGGAGGGGGGGTGAGATGTCCATCCTTCCCCTAGCTGGGTGGGTGGTACAGTCCCTCAGGGCTGGGGATCAGGAACCCCAGCTGGGCCCGAAGCTGGGCAGCACCTGGAGAAGTCTGAGGGCACAGGGGTGGTTTGTATAGTCCTTTTGGGGGACCGGAGCCTTTGGAGAGTCTGGTGAGGGATCTGACCTGTGTCTTGGCACTATGGGCAGTGGGGGTGGGGGTGGAGTGGGGTGGTGGTCCTCCGAGGGTCTTTCTTGGGACAGCGCCCCTGAGCCGTGCCCTGCCCAGGTGGTGTGCACCTTGGGCCGTGGGGACCGGCCGCTACTTCGGCACCACAGTTCCCTGCCGCAGACGCTGGAGATGGCGCTGGCCCAGTGCGGTCTGGGCGAAGTGTCACAGGTGGAGGCCGTGCGGCAGCGCGTCAAGGCGGCGGCTGAGGCCGCGCTGGCCGCCGTGTTGGCCCTGGAGGCTGGTCTGAGCGCCGAGCAGCGCGGCGGCCGTCGGGTCCGCACAGACGTGCTGGGTGAGTGCGGGAGCTGGCGGGCCGGGCCAAGGCTGGAGGCGGCGAGCAGGGGCAGTTGCGCTGAGCCACCCCCGTCCGCCCGCCAGGCGTGGACTTTGCGCTGACGGTGATCGGTCGCTCGCTGACCCCCGTGGTCCTGGAGCTGAACAGCGGCCTGTGCCTAGAGGCGTGCGGTGCGCTCGAGAGGCTGTGGGCCGCGCCACGCATGGAGCCGGAGGCCCAGGCGGTGGCGGCACCGCTAGTGGAAACTATGCTCTGGCGCTCGGCGCGCGGCCTCATGGAGGGCAAACAGCTGCTGCTGATCGGCGCCGGTGGTGTCAGCAAGAAGTTCGTCTGGGACGCGGCGCGTGACTACGGGCTCAAGGTGGGCGGGGCGGGGCGCGGGGCGGGGCCTGTCCACGATGTGGGGCGGGGCTTTCGAGGGAAGATCCAGGAAAGGGGGCCCGAGCCTGGGCTGGGGGTTAGGTCGACTGCCCTGCGAGCCTAAGGGGTTAAACTCTTGAACCGACTTCTGCCCCTGCCAGATGGAGAGGCTCCTTCGGACAGGCCCGGGGTAGACAGGGGGCCTGAATGCCATCGTAGGAAAAGGGCTGGCCCCCTGAGATTGAATGACTGAGACTTGGGTGCTGGAGAGCAGTTTACGGATCCCGAATCACTTTCACTCCAGTGGTCTTACATTGGCAAATCTTTAGGCATATAGGTGGGACAGACATTCTTGTCACGTTGCACAGTTGAGAACACGGAGGCCAAAAAAATCTAGACTCTTCTTGGGCTGGCTTTCTCGACCCTCTCTCAATACACCCTCCTGCCCTTCCTGAACCTCTTTGCTCCCTGCCTTGCACACGGCTTTCTGTCCTGGAGTGTCACTTCACTCCTCAGCCACACATTACAGCCTCATGAAGTTAGTCACTTTCTTCTCCCTCCTCAGGAACAGCCTTCGTCCTGGGTACCAGATTCTGATTCTTCTATGGACATTTCCCAGTGCATGGTGTCACTTGGGGGAGGGGGTGCAGGCACCCCACCACCTGATACTGTCAGGAGACCCCAAAATGACCCCAGGATCTCAGGAGTCGGAGGCAGACTGACTGGTTTTACAGGGCGGTATTCCTAGAGATTGGTGTCACCAGTCACCCAGTGCAGTAATTCGCCACTCCCATCACCCACCAGCCAGGGGGAGGGCAGGCAGGCCACCTTGGACCATGGGAGTGGGGTGTCTCTGCAGGAAGCCTCGGGGTGAGGGATGGCGCCAGGCCACTCCACTGGCTAAGGGAGTGTCGCCATCTGGGCCAGTCCACAGGGTATGTATGTGGCACCATGCATTACCTCGCTGGGTGGCGCTACCCTTAATGACGCCCCTGTCTCAATATTAGTGTACAGCGAGTCAATGACAACCAAGGGCACATTGTCCAAAGGGACCAAATGCCCTGTTCTAAGCTCAAATCCTGGACATATTGTCTGGAGGAAACAGTCGTTGGAGAAGGATGTAAGGTGGAGGGTCAGAGAAAAAGAGGAAGACCCCCAACGAGATGGATCAGCCAGGTGGCATCATTGATAGACTCAAGTGTGGCAGCGGTAGTGAGACTGGCCTAGGATCGGATATTGTTTCGTTCTGCTGTGCATGGGGTCGCTATGAGTCGGTTCCGACTCGATGGCACCTGACAACAACAACAACAACAACAATCTCAAATCCTGGAGTTCTGATGTGGCCCTCCAGAATAAACACTGAACTACCAAAAGGTCGGTTTGAACTGCAAGGTCAGAAGTTCAAACTCACCAGCCACTCCTCAGAAACCCTATACAGGGAGACTATGAGTCAGAACCGACTCGACAGCACTTAACAACAAGTTGAATCCTAGTGGTTTGTTTTGCACGCACTGCTGGAGGGAGGCTGTGGGCTTGGGGCTCCGCCCCTTTGATTTTTAATCCTTCCCCGCCCCTTCCTCTGCCCCCTCTGCTCTGGAGACCTCTCGCTCTTTGCTGGGGCTGACTCGGAGTCATGATTTCATTCCCTCCCCTCCTGGCTGGCCTAGGTGTTACCTTCAATCGCTTGTAGATATTTAGTGAGCACCTATTATATACTAGACGGTACGCTGGGCACTAGGGATGCCACCGGGGACATGGCAGGAAAGGTCCCAGACCAAGTTCCAGGTCCTCTCCCCTCCTGCCAGCGCGAAGCACGGAACTGACCTGGGTATGTCCTGTGATTTCTGCACCTACAGCTACACTTAGTGGAGTCGGACCCCAACCACTTCGCCTCCCAGCTGGTGCATACCTTCATCCACTTTGATGTGACTGAGCACCGCAGGGATGAGGAGAACGCGCGTCTCCTGGCGGAGCTAGTGAGGGCCCGGGGTCTACAACTTGACGGCTGCTTCTCCTATTGGGACGATTGCTTGGTGCTCACGGCGTTGCTCTGCCAGGAACTGGGACTACCGTGCAGCCCACCGGCAGCCATGCGTCTGGCAAAACAGAAAAGCTGCACCCAGTTGCACCTCCTGGGCCTCCAAGGTCCGCCCTGGCCCGCGCCCTCCCTGCATGCCGTGCCCTGCTGCCCGTTGGAGAACGAGGCAGACGTACAGCGGGCCATCCACCAGGTGCCCCTGCCTGGCGTCATGAAGCTGGAGTTCGGGGCTGGTGCTGTGGGCGTGCGGTTCGTGGAGGATGCGCTGCAGTGTGACGAGCACTTTAAACGGATCGCCCGGGATCTGCAGGGCGAGGCTGACCACCCCGGCATTGGGCTGGGCTGGGGCAACGCCATGCTGCTGATGGAGTTTGTGGAGGGCACAGAGCACGATGTGGACCTGGTGCTGTTTGGCGGGCAGCTACTGGCCGCTTTTGTCTCTGACAACGGCCCCACGCGGTTGCCCGGCTTCACTGAGACGGCGGCCTGCATGCCGACCGGGCTGGCGCGTGAGCAGGAGGCTCAGCTGGTGCAGGCGGCCTTCCGCTGCTGCCTGGGCTGCGGGCTGCTGGATGGCGTCTTCAACGTGGAGCTCAAGCTGACCCAGGCTGGACCGAGGCTCATTGAGATCAACCCCCGCATGGGCGGCTTCTACCTTCGGGACTGGATCCTAGAACTATACGGTGTGGATCTGCTCCTAGCTGCTGCCATGGTGGCCTGCGGCTTGCGGCCTGCGCTACCTGCCCACCCACGTGCTCGAGGCTACCTGGTGGGTGTCATGTGCTTGGTATCCCAGCACTTGCAGGCCCTGAACTCCACCGCCAGTCTGGGGGTGCTGCAGACCCTTCATGACCAGGGTGTGCTGCGTCTCAACGTGCTGGGGGAGGCCTTGGTGCCAGGAGAGTATGAGGAGCCCTACTGCAATGTGGCCTGTGCTGGGTCCAGCCCCGCTGAGGCCCGCATGCGCTTGCTGGGCCTCTGCCAGGGCCTGGGCATTGATGGACCCCACTACCCTGTCGCCCACTTCCTGTCCCATTTCAAATAGCACTGGTGCGGGGGG